GATTGGACATTGGAGGAAAAATCCAGAGAGTCATGCGACCCGAAGGGGTGATGACAGAGTCTACTGTAACTGCCGACAGCCATGGCACGGTAGATTTATGATACAGTGTGACTTCTGTGGTGAATGGTACCATGGCTCCTGTGTGAATGTGACTGCTACTGATGCCTTGGAGATTAATAAATATAAATGTCCGGATTGTTTACGCCGAGCAAAAGTGCTGGTGTAAAAGAATGTACATTATAGTAAAAGTACTGATTTCAAGGGGCAAGTAGCAGAGGGAGGAGATCCTAGCAAAGGCTAGTATATATGTAGATCGGTTGGCACCAGAAATGTAATTTGTTTTTCAGGCCAGACTTGGTATGACCTGGTTAGATGGTCGTGGCAGGGGTGTAAGTGACATTCCTGACTGCGAGTACTATGTACACAGCCCTGAAAGTGAAGGGAGGTGTCTAGTAAGGTGGGGGTTCAATCTTTTTGGATAAAGAGGGGAAGAGTGTAGTGCCAACGGGTATGTTTATGTCTCGATCTGAAAAGGCAGATCACATGACTGGACTGATAGCGAGACTGACTGACAGATAGTTTTTAGCCGGACTTCTACATGAAGAGACGTGCTATCCAAGAAATTAAGAAAGTGACAATTTGGTTCAAGCTAAAGAGCTTTAAAGGTAAGAAACATACTATTACCTTAAATAGAATCCAAAGGGAATTCTACACGACAATTGACAATTTTCATGAGTTCCGATCAAAAAGTGATACACTTGTTACGGCCAAAAGCCTTACCGCTTTTTGTACTTTTCAAATGCAAGATTATAAAAAAATTTGGTGTGTTTAGATTCTTGAACATCTTGGTCGTGGTGTGGTATATATTGCATGGATACTGCTCCAATATTTCTTTAAAAAAATAACCTGATTTGTTCAGAATACCAATTTTTTACTTTAGTGTTATGGGTAAATGTACCATTTTTGTCTTTACCTTTTTCGTGTTTAAAACTAAAAAGACTTATCATGACAGTTGGTCATCATTTTTCTTCTCACCATGGTGGGTGGCTTTGGAGTGGTAACTCTATTGTTAAAGTAAGGTGCTCAGTTATTTTGACTGGAAAAGTTTTGCCTCCACCCAGCATTTTCCATCATGGCGGTCTAATAGGAAGTTTGACTTCACAGTGTCTTTAGTATAGTTATTTTTAACTTATTTTGTCTTCTTTTTACATATATATGTTTTGATTCATATTAAACCTTAGAAAAAAGAACACATATGAATCCTGGTGCTTCTTTATTTAAAGTCTAAAGGTTTTAAGTACACCTAGGCTCCACCAATTACTTTACCTGTTATCTCACTACACATCTCCCTTTGAGTCAAGGTGTGTAAGACGCACCTTATTGTGTAAAACACGTCTGTAATTAAGGGGTACTTGCTTCTCTACTTTAATTATACTTCACTACTTTGGCATGTTAGGTGGCAAGCTTGGATGTTTCAGTTCATTTTATGAAAGAAGCTTTGCCTTGGTGGTTACAAAAGAATAGAAATCTAGTAAGGTTTATTCATTTCTTGAAAGTAAATATTTCATCTTGCAGTGTTGAAACAGAAATTCACTCAAAATTGATAATGAATTTGACATATCTAAACACTACTCAAGTTTTTTCTTCTATTATAGATATGGGAGAAGGCTGCATTGAATATATGAATAATGCACAGGCTGGACAAAATATCAATGAAAAAAGGAGGTCAGTGTGTCTGGGGTAAGTTACTTTTGTCATAATGCCTACGATGCATGAAACATTCACTAACAACAGTACCCTTTTTAATTTTTTTCGAAATACACGTCCTTGGGCATTTTCCTTTTAGCAACCAGCCTCTCTGAAATCCCCTTTTTGTCCTGTCAGAAGAGTAGGAACCAGGGCGGATTTAAATAATTTCTTGTAATAAGTACAATTTCTTGGGGTTATAAGCCTTTGATCATGAATCTTGATGTTCTATATAAATTCAGTTGTAAGTTGTTCATTTACGTGGTGAACATTATTTCAGTCAAGTCATAACAAGACACATTAAACTTCACTGCGTAATTCCAAAATGTCTACGTGGATACTAGTAGTTCATAATGCTATTATTGTTTTTTTTTCTAACCTACAGGTTTCCCTTTTTTCTGAGTGGCATGGCATTGGCAAGGCAGAAGAAAAGGCCCTGAAGAAATTCTCACTTGAGTTGTCCTTTTTAGTAAAGAAACTGGATAAGACTGACCAACAGAGACTGCATTAACTAATTAGTGCTCCTTCATGACATTTTAAAATATTTTCAGTCACCTAACTGACTCTATACATTTCTAAAGTGGACATAAATTTTATGCTACTGTCATGTGGGAAAAAAATCAAAACTTATAAATAATTTGTTGAGTGCCATGGTATATCAGTCTACCTGATCGCCAGTAAATTTTGGACTGCTTCAGTGAAATTTCTTTAAAGCAGTCACTTACTGGACCAGTTAATTTTTTCAGCTGTAGCATGTACTCCAATTCATTTTATAAATGTTCTGACTAAGTGTTGTCTTGGTCTATAATAACCTTTTGAAAATCCCATGTTTTTGAACCTGTTTGTAAGAATTAGCCACTTTTTCTTCTAGGATTTTTTTCATTTAGACCCTTAGATTCTCAGACCTTGCTGGTCTGTGAGTGGAATAGTAGCTGGCACAGACTGACATCAGCAAGTCGGATAAAAAATAATATAATTATTTCTATTTGCACGGTTGAAAAAAAATGCCAACATAGACTGCATAAAACCTGAAAACTGTAGCAACTTGATCATTCTTATGACTTTATTAATTACTGCTTATGTGTAAAATTGTAAAATTTTGTTTTTGTTCTTCTACTGATATAATAAAATGGTTTAACTCACAGATGCTACAATCATGATGCTAGAGTATAGAGTTGACTTAAAAGATATTTTAAATTTATATAGTAAATAATAGTTTGAAATTCTATATTCACATCTTTATTTGTTTCACTTAAAAGAGCTCAGTCAATACTAAATTTCTAATATATTTTGTACATAAATATATTTATGAATGAATAAAATTATTCTTAATGTTTAGCACTGTGCACTTGTTCACAGACAAATGTGACCAGAGTATGTGTCAAAATAATCTTGAAAAAAAGGGAGATTTCCAAGATAAAGATATTTATAACGAGTATTCAGTAAATTGACATGCAATGGCATTGCCTCATTTTGGTTAAATTTTACTTTAATGCATTATAATATTAAAATTATACCGAGAGAAAAATATTTTAAGAAATTTAAAACCAAAGTCACAAGGCTTAGGCACTGTCACAATGTATATGTTTATGGGACCTAAGGGATGGAGGGTCCATACGTTTATATATTAATATTATGTCCTTTGGCAGTGAAGACAGACGTTCACTTGAATATCGTTTTCACAAACCACAGTTGGGACGTTTTCTTTTGACTTCTCCTTGGTGATTTTTCACTAGGTTGTGCAAAAAAAAAAAAAAAGCCATCTATCACCGACTCAAAAAACTCATGGCGACTATCCTCAATCCGACCTTCGTATCCTCTCTATAATATCATTCCCTTCCAGCACATCGTCCAGATAATTACCGTGAAAAAATCATCAGCATACAGCGCCGCTTTGACACTACTAATCTCGAATTCTAACTCAAAATAACGCATATGAAATTAATCTCCAAGCCGAGGAGAGCGACGCAGACGAAACCTTGAGACAGGAGGCTCCCCTTAGCTAGCTCCGCCCACCGTAACAGACATCGGACAATAGAGAGGCTTGCGTGTAATCTCCTTCTGTTATAACTCCTTGTAAAAACTAAGAAAAAACTATCATGATTATCGACATTTCACACCGGAAACAACTAAAAATCAATGCGCCTCAATATGGAAAAGGGGATTTTTCTGTTTATGAAAGTGAGAAAAAAATTGCGTCATGCCTTAAAATAGCAAGGGGATTTTTTTGTTTACGAAGAAAGGCTTAGGCCAATTAGGACAAGCCTGTATTATTACCTATCAAGATCAGCAATAACTGAATAAGACCAATCTTGACTGCCATGCTGCTCGGCATATGAATCTGAAGAATTTTCAAAGCCCCTCTGGCCCCGGTGTGACCCAGGTCTAGTGACCCAGTACGCTGGCTTATTTGAAACAAAAACTAACGTAACCAATAGTTTAGCAAAGTTCACCTTTTGAAAGAGGAACAAAAAGCAAGGTGAGTAAAATTCCATTGTTTATAGTGAGCTATTGTTTATAGCAACATCTGCTTGAGAACAGGTGTTAAACACACGCGCCACCAAATTCAAAGTGGGGGAGGGGGGCTTTTTTCTGAAAAAGTGGACCTTTTACCGAGAAACCTTTGTGTACCTGCATCTTATTTAACCCACAGCAGACATTTATCAGGGCCAGCCTATATTACAAGGGTTTGCTATTCCGAAAAAAAAAAAAAAAAAAAAAAAAAACTGAATAGGGGCCTTGATCTTAATATAGACAATATACAGTACTTGCTGTTCCCAAGGTCCATAATTCCGAAGGCTAAGTTGAGCGTCCAGTATTCCAAAGTTCCGCTATTCCAAAAAAGTTTATTGCTGACCGTTGGATAGCTGCGTTTAAACAAATTGTATTTGTTGCGTAATCAGGACACTGACCTTCTTGTCAAAGAAATGCATTTAACCATAAACTTTCATGCAAGAATTTGCTATCTGCTTAATTGTTGTTTTCACTCTCTCGAAATATAGGGGGTAAACCAAATTAATTTAGAAACAAGGCAGCAAAGCTGTCAAATGTACAGACAAAAAAAAACAAAACAGAAAATAAAGATGCAAAATAGGTCATTTTGTCAATTCTAATGCAATAATAAATAATGCTTATAATAGCACTGTCAGTCAACACTGAATTTTGATCATGCACAACAGGTAACATGGTCAATAACAGGAGCGGACCCAGAGATATTTTCTAACAGTATTCCTAAGTACTGGTATATGAGATGTTAGCTGGCACAGTTTTGACATTGTTATAGATATGGATATTTCAAACTGAAAAATGGTGCTCATTTTGTGTCATTGGAGACAAATCAGAGCTACATTTATTCTCCAAAAAGGAATAGTTTATACTAAACCAATGTGATGCTATTATTTTTCTGCCAGTGATACAAATTTATATTGCAAGTGTTAGAGCCACAATCAAATTTATTTGAATATTACACATTTCTTTGCCTTTTCAACATTTTATTACTTGAAAATAAATTTAACCAAATCATACTTCATTTTTTAATTATATAATTCATTACTTTTTTCATACTTAATTCTACTGTCACTAGCTTACTTGCAAGAGTCAATGACATAAACAACATCATTGATAGTGATACTGGTCTCAGCAATGTTGGTGGACAGAATGATCTGAAATAAGTGAGAATATTTTGATACACTAATCCAAACTTCACTACTGGTGACATATATAATATATATACCATTACATGTCAAATTACTTAAAAAGACTCTTATTACATATCAAAATTCACAATTCTAACAGCTCATAATCTATGAAGTATGATGACAGATAGGTCCATGGAGCAGGGGTACTGGCCTAACCTTGTCACAATAATTATGTAAAAGTAACATTCTTTAACAAAGGCAACTACAGTGATTTGTATTAAACCAACCATACCTTTGTAACACCTTCAGGTACTGGCTCAAAAACCTTGTGTTGGTCTTCTCTTGGTATTTGGGAATGAAGTGGAAGCAGACGATATGCAGGGCCGCCTGAAAGGTACAAACTTTTATGTAAATACAATAGTTTTAACTTTGAAAAGTTAAAATATGTAGAAAAAACTAAACAGAAGGGACATTTCTGCATTTTACTGAAATAATTCTAACATACAGTGCCACATAAATACTCTGTGTAATACTCCTCAATGTTATCAAAAATCGCTTAAACATACTCATTAAACCTTTGCCTCATCATCTTCAATATCTAAGTATTAACAATAAACATACTCATACTGTACTACTCCACGATAAGGTCAATAATTTTTTTTCAATCAAATGTGTTTGCTGTTTGTTCTCTTACCAAACTCTGGGTGCTCTGACAGGTGTCTGCATGTTTAAGGCAAATATCAGGTTCCACCCTGGGTGAAATATCAAGATGGCACCAGGGACACCAAGGTTCTTGATATACTTGCAAAGTGCCTGGAATATATCATAATTGTCAATATTATAATAATATAATACATGATACCTGCAATACATATAAATTTGGCATTCTATCAGTTAATAAAGACTAGCTGTCTCCAAGGTAATGCCAACTTTTGTAATTGGCAATAATTTAATGGCAGTATAAAAATTAGAATAAGAAACAGATGAGTTTCAACCTTAAGGTTGAATATATACAAGCTTAATTTGGACTATTTAGCACCAACACATGTACACACACACACACACACTGCGACAGACATTTACGCACACCTGCTTACAGTAGGAAAATGATTAATTATCTTTATTTGATTCATTTTTTTTCTCTTGCTGATCTGCAATAATTTCTTTCAACTAAAATTAGCTCTGTAACTAGAATCACACTCACCTCAATAAGTTCAAATGACATCTCTTTCTCACTCAGCATGGCCATGGCTCTTCTAGTTGTGTCATTATAATCTGATGAAATCATCATATTGCAATTTTCCTAAGTAATAGAAGGATATAGTATAGCAATATATGCTTACATAGCATAGCATACATTGCATAAAACATAAGATAACATAACAACATAGACTAAAATGTAACAAAACAAATGATGAATTAATAGGTTTTTTACGGAAAATAAACCATAACCAATGACTACCTCTTTCTCTCCTTCTTCATCCACCATGTCATCTTTGTCCCGCTCCTTCTTGTTGGATGGTGGAGGAATAAAGTTCAACATCTGGATACAATCTTCCAAGTAATAGTCTGTAATCATGATATATGTAAAAGTTCATCATAAATATGTTCCATAACCTGTAATTCCTGATAATGTATTTTCAATAATAATGTTTATATATGCATCAGGAAATTGTAATGGTTCGATATTTATTCAACTTTATTTTTATGTACAGACACAGATGTGTCTGTACATATTGCCATCACCTGCGTCTGTCGTCGCCGTCGCCGATGCCGATGGCAATGCCGGCGCCGTGCACTTTCCTTGTAAACACAATAAGTGGAGGGCAGTTTTACTTTTTGGCTTTATATTTACAGAGCTGATGAATATTTATAAAACGCAGGTCAAGTTTGAAAATCAGCATGATCGGGCCATTATTGTAGAAGNAATTAATTAAGTTATCTTAACATGTAACTTCGAAAGCAATCGTTGTCGATACATATTCATTACTGCACCTATAATATTCAACACTTACGTAAAAAAAGGTCCAAAAGAAAGCTGGATACCCCTGTCGCTTCCTTGGAGGGCAAGGCACGTGCATGGGCCATCTTGGTGTAGTAGCACACAACAGTACATACGTACTGATTGCCCCTTTCTGTTTGTTGCATTGGCCCAATTAGATCGATCCCAATCTACTAAAAATTAATAAAAATACGTTATTTCTGATTTTACATTAAATTCGTAGATGTTTAACTACATAAATTACTGAAAAATAAAGAAATTTCCACAAGTCTTAATGTTTTCTGTTAAAACAATATGACGATAACAACGAAAAACTATTTTCAATAGCTATTTTTCCAATTAAACACCACGATTAAGATCAAAATTGTCTTGATTACCATCCTCCACGCCTCAGGCTTGTTCACAGGAATAGGGTTAAGCGGTGGAGAGCCGTTGTCGCTCTTTTTGTTGACACGCTGACATTTGTCACATTTTAAAATGAATTTTCTGATGTCGTCTACCATGTTTGGCCAATAATATCTCTTTTCAACCTTGGCCAGTGTCTTATCTCGTCCTAGGTGACCACCTTAAATTTAAAAACGAGGAAATTAATACATCGCATTCTATGGACACTTTTTCAATGTCTGGAATTACGTCACACAATTAAATAAAGCAACGTATACGCGGTATTGTGAATACAGAATTCTTTTAATACATACTTACCAAGCGGTGATGTATGCAGTGTATCCAAAAATTTTTTCACTTCTTCCCTGTTTCTTACAACTTTTTGCCATACTCCACCAACATCATTATCATCATTATCATTCTGCCCTTCATCTGCTACGTCCCTCACTTTCCTCTTGCTAACTCTGTAATAGAGCTTGCCATGTTCAATCTGAAATAAGCATTACGATATGCATATGTGTACTCATGATGTTAAAGGAATTAAGCAGCTGTCCCCGGGCCTAAAATCCCAGAAATGGTAGTCCCCTGGACCTAAAATCCCAGAAAAGGTAGTCCCCGGTCCTAAAATCCTAGAAATGGTAGTCCCCCGGACCTAAAATCCCAGAAATGGTAGTCCCCCGGACCTAAAATCCCAGAAATGGTAGTCCCCCTGGCATACTGTAAATACCCATGAAATAGTAATCCCCTGCAGGACATTTATTAAAGGTACATAGGTCCATTGGACACACATCCCTGGAATTGTATATCTGCGTATAACGTAGTGTGACCTCTAATAATATTTCATATTTAACATCATGAAAATTGAAAGTTTACTTTATAATTAGACTTGCTTGTTCTCCGAATAACTCTTTTCTGTGTTGGTGTTGTCTCTATAGGATACGTGCCCTCCTGAAGATATTGGAAAATAACTTCAACTTGTACAGTTATTATTTTTACTCTTTTCAGGTCTGTTATGGCCAATGAACATGGGGAGAAGAAAAGGTCACCGTCTTCTGTTGCTACTCCAGGCAGACAGAGGTTGCTGCTATCACAACGAGATACGGGATAGAATTTGAAATTGAAATAAACTAATGAAATCCATCAGTTGCAACTCAGACTGCTGTCTGACATTTAATCCTTATTATACAGTTGAAATCTCTATCAAAATCCTATAATACTGCTGCATGAAAAGCAAATAAATAAGATACAGGAATCAAATAATACCCATAATACAGGGGCGGATCCAGATATATTTTCTGACAGTCTTCCAAATTATCTTTGGATCCATCCTCCATTTTTAACATCTTCCGACAAAAAACTAAGTTATCGTCAATGGAAACTTGAAAATCTGACCGTCTTCCGAAAGACCCAGAAGATTGCCTCAATCTGCCCCTGATAATACACAGAAAATTTCTGATTAAAAAAATGGTATGGTAGATTATGCTTCCTACTAAATATTAACAACACATTTCTGATCACAGAAAAAAATATCCTGTGTGCGCACTTTCCATTTTGTGTCAGCACTATTCATGATAATAAATACCCATGTAGGGTACGTATGATATGTAAAGAAGTCGAATTTCATAGCCTAACAGTCGACATCGTGCAAGAGAACGGCCTTACTAGTACTTGCCCAATGACATTTACTCTCCACTGGCATGCTTTTTAAGAAAATCATGTGAACTGCATTGTTTTTTTATTATTTTGCATACTTATCACATACTTTTCACTTGTATTGACAACAAAACTAATTAAAAGCATTGATTTGTATTTTAACTTCTGATCAAAATAAAAACAACTTGTAAGTTGTAATTTCTACTTTGTGCATAATTTCAATTTCTACTATATATACTATAAGCACGTAAGTAACCTGCGCTGTTATCCACTACCTGAGAGGAAGCATTACTGGCCTGAGAGGACACTGTTGTTTATACTTGTCGAAGGTAAACCAAATAATTTCGTTAGGTCGTCGTTGTGGAAAACTCGGCTTTTACATAGTCAATTCATTGAAAAATCTGTATCAAAGATCATAATGTGTGTAATGTGGTCTCTGTTATCCAAATTTTGAAATAACTTGTCGATAACATAGGATTATTAGTATTTTTTCTGAGGTCTTCGCCGAGGANAAGTGTGCAGTTTTAATTTATTAATAAGTTTAAAGAAAGTACCCCACAGAGCACCAAAGCATCTTCGGTTTTTGATTATATGAAATTTAATTTGCTAAAACAAGTGCTGCCTTATCTGTATATAAGTACAAACTTTTGAAAACTTTTATTTTAAATCTTTTTTTTTTTCAGAATGTAAAGGAAAGGGTATATTATCATCTACGTGGTAAAAATGTTTTTCAAATAACCATTCTGTCACGTTATAAGCAATTTTGTTGTGTCTAGTTGTCATTTTCAATTTTTTAATGTGATTCACATTTTCCAGGCGGATGCCCTATGATTCACATACCAGGATTCACATACCCAGTGGAAGAGGTTTATCTGGAGGATGTCATTGAAACATTAAGGTTTGTAATTTTTTTGCAATGCAATATGCCCCTAAAAGATAATATCTTTTGCCATATGTTAAGATAACTCTTTTTTATTCTCTTAAAAACTAAGGTCTCATGTTTGTTAATGATGTTTCTCCCCATTTCTTTATTGGGTTTCCTATCTGAGAGTTTGATTTCCTGGGTGTAAGTTTGAACCTAGAATCTGGTAGAAAGATTCTGCCACAACAAACCAGGTGTTCCTATGCCTGAATTACAAAGCAATTTTGTATATGTCTTAGTATGAAAAGGTTCTTTATTTCTTCTTTCAGGTATTCCCCACCCGAGAACACTTCTAACAAACCACAGAGGAGAATCTATGGGAGGAGGAAAAGAGAGATGTTGGCACAGAAAGAAGAAGAAGAGTGGCTGCTTAATGAATGGATTGCCTCCATACGTCACAAGTAAGATCTCTATTTCTCTCTCTCCCTCTCATGGTTTGATTGTATCTGTGCTATTAACAGGGAGGTGGTATTTTGGGTGATCATAACTGCCCTTTTCAAATTAAAAAAAGGAAGAAGTATATTTAATATCGTTTTCTTACAGAAAACTTTTTTGAATACTTTTGGCCACAGAAGGTCTAAAAGTGTGATGTTCATTTCAATGAAATGATTCACTTCGTAACTTAGTACTGATTTTCCAGGTATTCCCCTGATACTCTACAGACCCTGAGAACAATGGACTATGACAAGATAGACGTTATGTTGATAGAGCAGTTGATCAAGTATATCATCAAGACTAGTGATGTGAGTAAGCAGATATTGTACTGGGATCATGACCACTACTTAACATGGAGAAATAGGTTTTATCATTGTCTGTTTAAAAAAAGAAAAGGAAACATTATCAAGATTTTTTTAAAATCATGTTTTGTCTGTTTATAAAATGAATTATGTGCTTTTTTTTACCAAAAACTGAGGAGGCACTTTGATCTTGGGCGTGCATTACAGATTTAATGTAAAAATGACTGTGACAGCCACGTCAACATTTATATCATTTTTCATCTCGGTTTCTATTGCTATAAATATGATTATCGCTACAAGACAAGTGCTAAGGGATACAATTGAGCAGACCTTGTTTATGAGTCTTACTCTTTGACAAATTCAGGGTTTATATATGTTTTAGGATGGTGCCATACTGGTGTTTTTGCCAGGGTGGGAAGACATCAAGAAACTCAATGAAGTTCTCACTGCAAACTTTATGTTTAAAACAGGTAACTAGTCCACATAATCCCATCTGACATTGTGGTATATAACTCATTGATATCATGCGGCACATGAAATAATGTGCAAATTAGGCATAGTCTGCCAGACAAACACTATTATAAAATATTAGTAATTAGTAGTAGATCTGATTTGTAAATTATAAAAATGAACACTAATCCATACTGCTCAAAAAATATTCTTATGATACTTATGTTAACAAACTTCTTATTAGAAGTTCTATTTTTTTAATTTCCATCCTTAATAATCTGACAAATTTACCTTACAAAGCATTTTGATAGGAACCTTAAGTTCATCATATTGAAACTACTGTAAAATAACAATGTTTCTTTTATTGGCAATTAAAACTGATTGGGCTGGGAAAATTTGCAAGCTACCAGCCCAACTGTCTAGAGGTGTAAAATTCTTATTGTTGACAACATTCTGATGAAATATTAAGTACAACATATCACAATGAGTCACTGTATGGTTGAGCAGTGTACATGCAGTTTGAGCTATTCAGTTACAGTCAGTTTAGTCGGCCAAGTTTGACCACATACTTATTTTCAATTTTTTTTTTTTTTCAAAATTTTTTTTTTTTTTCAAAAAAAAATTTTTTTTTCAATTTTTTTTCGCTTGGCCCTCCTGGGATTCCATAACAGACACATCTGTGTCTGCACATAAAAAGGTACAGGCATTTGATCCTTGCTTTCCTTCATCTGCATGTGACGTGCATTAAAAAAAGCAAAAACAGTGTTGCGCCTTCTGTATATAGAAATACAACTTGCGAGTATAGAAAGTTGTTTTATTATCACTGCACTAACACACGAAGCTTAAACGATTTTCGGTGATTATAAAAAAAATTGCAGATGACTTCTCAGCACTACAGCCCCCAGTTGATCTAGTAATCTATTGGCCAATGTGAACGTGAGTGGTTGTCCTTAGCAAAAGTGCTACGGTACTGCGGTGCTGTAATGCAGTGGTGTTTCTCAGAAGGAAGTATAGCAGGAAATTAATTGCATTAGAAGTCATTTTCAAAAGAAACCAAAACACCCCAAATTAACATGAAGGAAAAGTTAACAAAATATCAATTAATGGTTGATATTCAACTTAAACCTTAAAATCAAGATTGGTTAGCCATTGAATGTAGAATGCGGAAATAACATTACTTTTTATTTATTCATAGTTAATCATTATTATATTATTACGTTGAATATTCATTTTAAGTTAACCAGGTGTATAAATTGAGAGGTCAGATAATCAGCTGCATTTTCAAAGCTTACTATTCCACCAGCTAAATAACTCTATTTGTGAGAATTGAATTGTTAGTTGCCTGAAATTCAGGTTAAACCCATTGTACAAGAGCTGAAAATGCCACCATGTTTAACTTTTGCAGTATTTAATCACATCTTCATTGGCTGGAATTTAAGGAGACAGAATGGATAGGTCGTTTGTTTTGCGAGATGATAGTCAATTCTAAACGTCACACTTCAATAAAGGGAAAATGCAGTGGGAGGTATGAAAAACTTTATTCTTCAATGTTCTGTTCATAGAACAGGTAACAGTCTAGATACAGGTAAATTCACAGACAGCAGTGGGAAAAAACTAGAAATCTTTAACCTCTGATACCTTGAAGCTTTGTCTAATATAGACTATGTACGAATGAATATGTACATGCATATTCACAACTAACCTGCATGGTTTCGAACTTCTTACGATAATATACATATTAATATAGACTACTAATATGTATATTGTCGCAAGAAGTTCAAAACCATGCAGGTTAGTTGTGAATCAAACATCGCCTTCAGTTTGCAAAACAGTCCGCAATCGACTACAAGGACTAATAAGGACTAAATGCAACAAACTGTATCACAAATAATATTGATTAATTTACTTTTTGTCGTCGTGGTAACGTTGCTTTTCAGAATCACGGTTGCTTCTGTTGTCAAGCAAAACGAGAAGCTTTATCTTCAATTTTCAAAATCTGGACATTCTTTACGTAAACGTCGCAGCATGCTGTCAAAGTAAGCCCTTGAATACTCATCTTTAATACAGTCGATGACTGCCTTCGATTTTTTGCACATTTCTTCTTCTATTTCAACTAGTGGTTCTCCCGTCCACATTGCCATAACCTGAAATATGTACATGCATATACCTATAAAAACTGATAAATACCATATTAGCTTGTGCAGTAGCTCAGTTTGTAATGTTTGTCAATAACGGCAAAGAGTAAATGTGTCCAAACTAATATGGTATTGTCATATACAATATTGCTTAAAATGTTGTCACCCCCCCCCCAAAAAAAAAAAAGCTTTTTCTAAACAATACAGAAAATTTTGTTCCGTATACGAAAAGAGTTTGCCTGCCACCTTACCAGTAGAATTCACTGACCATGTGAAATTATTTGGGTCAAAAAGTGAACAATGGATGGTGGCCCCAAAGTAAAAATAAGAAAGTAAATGTGTTACATAAATCCACTGTGGAGGGGAGAAGTTACCTGTACTTGACAGGCCCTCTCCAAGTAGTAAATTGTGTCAAAGGCTGAAGCGACAGTTGGACCTACAACCATGACCCCGTGACTCCTCATGATCATGGCGTCGTTTTTGCCCAGTGCCTTTGCCATGCGGTCCCCCTCATCGACATTCTCAGCAAGACCTTGGTAGTCCGTGTCATAGGAAATGTTCTCGTAGAATCGGAGGGAATTTTGGTGACACATGCGAAGAGTGGGATCCTGTAAAACCGCTGAAATTACACATGGAATACATTACGTCTTTTTGGCGATTAAGGGTACGTTAACAGTAAATAATGGTAAAAGATAACACTGACAACCCTGAGTTTTACAGTACGGGCAGTATCTTCCTGGCACACTTTGGTTATATAGGAGAGTTTCCAGTGCACTGTAAAACTAAAGAGTGGCATTGGCTGATTAAATAATAGTCTCGTGTGTTACAGTGTATGCTGGCGACAAGGGGTTTACTTTAAAAAGTAGACGTTCCCTCGTGATTCTGATGAAGGCTTTTAACAAGTACAGACAGTGTAATTTAAAGTACATTTGCTAGGTCAGAAATCTGAAAGGTGATCTAACATTCCCCATTCTAGCCATAGCAAGGGAGAACGTGATTAAATACCTCAAAATCCGTGTGTGAGTGTGTGTGTGTGTGTGTTTTACTTCGACTTACACAGTGCGGTGGCGTAAGGCATGTGTGTGTGCATCACACATGAGACATCTTCACTTCTAGCGTTGTGAATGCCCCGGTGTATGGAAGCCGCGGATATCTCGGATGGTCCGTCACCTTCAATCACAGCGTTATTCTCATCAAGACCAATCAATGAAGATGCCGTCACCTAAATTTTGAAGAAAGTGTATTTTCAACGCTTTCAAAAGACTAAATCCAGCCATAATTTTATAGGTCTAAATTAAAGAAGTTTATTTAACATGGTAAAATATTTTTCATTTATTGTGTCTTATCATAATTTTTTAAAAATCTAAAAATTGGCCTATTGCGGAAAACATTGTAGTTAAGTGCACAAATCATAATAGAAATTTCTATTATGAACATGTTTTACCAAAAGCTTGTACGAACAAAAATTTAAAAACATGGACCTTATGAAAGTTCATAAAGAGACGAAACGGTAAGGCTGGACGTGGGGACAACTGGAGGTTTATATACAACAGGCACAGCACTGCATTCTCTTCATACACAGCACTGCATTCTCTTCATACATGTAAGTAGTGAGTACGTGCCACGCACGCAGCTAGCAAGACAAACTCAAGAAAAGAGTACAATTTCCACGGCCATCGCACTTTGCAAATAGCGTCCCTGCTTGGAAAGACACCTCACTAGGCCCCTGCGACTCACAACGCAGACTTGGGCCTTTCCATTGCAAACCTCCCTCTACCTCTACGAACTCTATGGAATTTAATGCACCCAAAATTCGCAGGGGACGAACGATCCTAAAATTCGTGCTCCGGTTGAACATCATGTAAGTTCACAGTACAGTCAAAGAATATGCTATCGAGCGACTGCTGATGAGAGAAGCAAACTTTTTTTCAGACACTATGACAATACCTCAGACCAATGAAGTCCATAGGGAATAAGCAACATCACTTCGCCCTCTCCATTGGCGGCAGGCGCCCTCAAAGTTAGGTGATTACAAACTCCTTCATTCAAACCTAGCTTGTCGAGGCCACGGTATGCTGCAGCTAGGGCCACTCTAGCCCGCCGATTCGCGGCCTGTGCACTGGTGATGTAAGCCGAGGAGAGAGCCGCAGAACTCTTTAGACGCCTTTCTCCGGAATTCCAACTGAATGGCAATTTTTTTAGGAGTGGCAGATTCGCTCTTCGAAGCATGGTTTGTATTCGCCTTGTATGCTTGCAGAATTTTCTTCAAAATATCGGCTGAAATACTGAGATCAGCAGGCATTTGTCAGTCTGCTTGAAGAAGGAATTCTGAGAAAGAACAGCGGATGTGTATCAGTCGTTCACCGTAGACCTTATAGGGTCATGTCCTCATGAGGTCACCTGTAGGCCTACTCTTATCGGAGTCACATATTGATTTTTCACTAGACATTCACAGATATGTCTCTTGCTAGTTCATGACACATTCGACGCGTTGGAGAAAAGTGCACATAATTAATATGCGGCCCTGGTACCAGTTTCACACGCGCGCGCACACACACACACACACACGCACACACACACAAAAAAAAACAACTGGCTAAGAATTTAATTACAAAGGTTACACGCTCACATGGGCACATCTTACCCTATCAGCAGCAGTGTAACAGCACTCTCATGGCAATCCTAGTCAACAAACCCAGTTAACTGACATTTTTACGAAACTGGGACCAGGTAGGGGTTATCATGATAGCCTCAGATATCTCCAAACGATACAGCATCGCTTTAGGAGAAACGGCAGGTATATATAGGTCATGCCCCCATGAGGTCAATGTGTCCTCATGGTATTATCACGTGCTCATACATGTATCAGACATATCCAAAATAAACTCAATTTCACTCTCGAACCTGAACTTAAACCTCTTGAACAGATTATGGGCATTGTGCTATTGCATGAAAAGCAACAGAGGACGAAATTCACTTCATCGATATCATTGTGTGTTCCCATTATGAGAAATTTAGGTATAAGCTATATCAAATTGCATTCAAATCAGATAGGCCTACACTGTTTGCCACTTCTTGCAACAAAGAAAAATTCATTTAGCTTATGATATGTGAAAGGGAGTCTACTATCGTTAACTGGACACATTTATACAAAAATCCTCTTGTAAAAGATAGACTTCTCTCATCTGAACTAGAAAAGGGTACCAACATTATTATTATTTTTATATATTAATATATATTATTATATGATACTGCCTCGCTTTAAGAGAAATTGCAGGACATGTCCGAAAATGGCGGAAACGGCATCTCAGGGAACGAGAAAGAGGAAAAAAAAAAACAACGGCATCACAGGACAGCGAGTTTAACCCCTTCAATAATGCCTCTATTCGCTGGAGACATTTATGCGTCCATTTTACGACCAAAAATATGGCCAGGACGGTCATGGTCACCAAAGCAAGAAAATCTTGTCTCATTGTTAATGTTTCTGCGACCCTTGCGCGTCATTTGAACGAAGAAATGTGGAGTTTTCCACGGACCGGTAATTATTTAAGTTGGAAAGAGAGGGGGTGGAGGAGAAAATGGGTTGGGGGGACCTGGACATTTTTAAGCAAATATTAGGGGGATCTTAAAATTTGAAAATGACAGATAAGGGGGTCTTGGGAAAGGTTATTGAGGCTATAAATATAAAATAAAGCTTTTTCATCTTTCATTGAAATTTTCGTTAAATTTCTATTAAAATTTGTAATAATAATTAATTATTTTTTACACCTTTTCATCATGCGTAATAATAAATTAAGCACACATGGGATGGGATGGGATGTTTGAAATTGACCTGTTTTAATGCATTTTTATAATTTACATACCTTTGTTGACTCTTTGTTCACAATGGCATATCTCGTTAGAATACACGTATGTATAAAATATCAACAAATCTTGTCTGATTAAATTTCTTTCAACTTTCTTTTTATACTACTAGCTTTCTTTTTAAAAATGAATAGAATAAATTCTGTAGCATGTATCATATACAATTTAATCCTGTTCTATAAAAGAGTTCCTAAAATAAAGTATTTATGGGTATTTTATTATACTTTGACCTTTATACCAAATAAAATTCATTATTAGTTTCAAGAACACTTTAATATAGTTCACAATTGGTGTTGTAAAAGATCTATTTCCTCCACCTGGTAAAGCTATGATGATAATTTAAAAAATGCGCTCTATTTATGCCACAGATTACAAAGCGTTGGTATACGTTTTCCAAAGGATAATCAAGCGTAAGCTTTACGTTAAATAACCTAATCAATCGTAACAGATACGTTCAATACATTGCTCGTTTGTTACCATTATGCAAAAAAGCCAAGCTATATCGGACACCGTATGTAAAACGTACCTTATCGTAACTTTAACGTCATTATACCGTATAGTGTGTGTCTAACGTATGGGTACATGTTGTAACGTATGGGTAACGCACGACTCGTATACGCTTAAATTTTTTGGGACATTCTCAAAAAATTCAAATTTCCTTCTTCGTAGGCGAACGTGCACAAGCGTTTACCTGCATACGGGAAACGTATACGACGTAAGTCTAACGAAGCCCTTGCGTGTGTCCAAGATTGAAGCTTGTCTTCGCACAGCGAGCATATCCGCGCAGTTTTTCGGTGTTAAACGCCCGCACTCTACGTCATCTCAAGCCCTCTTATCTGTCTGTAAAAAAAAAGGGGGGGGTGTCCTTCGGGATCATTCCATGTGAAACTATTGTTCTAGTGAAACTATTGTTTTACATAGAACGCGGGAACTTTGGCTGAATGTTGTCAGTTTTACAGATTTACACGCCTCTTCCTGGCGTTGAGTAGTATACAGAGAAGCTGCAGGTGCTCATACGAGTACGTTGAAACAAGAGGGGTGTGTTAATCTGTTTGGGAATAAGCCTTTTGTCTTCACAGTTTCACACAGAATTCATATTTCACTGTTGCCGACTACTGCTAGCAGTTTAAACTCTCGCGGTCAAGGTACTCTTCGTTAATGTATTAATATGAGACATGACGTCAAATGTGGTCTTTACCACCAACACCCCTGTTAAAATCATATGAAATATTTGACAGAAGGTATAGAAAGACAGATTGAATTTTTCATTATTCGCATTCCATTCCCCTGCTTAAAATGACATCATATAGTGGACTGGGGGGCATCATGTAAGTTCACAGTACAGTCAATAAATATGCTATCAAGCGACTATGATGAAAGATGCCAGCTTTTTCAGACACTATGAGAATACCTCAGACCAATGAAGTCCATAGGGAATAAGTAACATCAGGCGCCCTCAAAGTTAGGTGATTACAAACTCCTTCGTTCAAACCTAGCTTGTCGAGGCCGCGGTATGCTGCAGCTAGAGTCACTCTTGCCCGCCGATTCGCGGCCTGTGCACTGGGCATGTGAGTCGAGGAGAGAGCCGCAGAACTCTTTAGACGCCTTTCTCCGGAATTCCAACTGAATGGCAATTTTTTTAGGAGTGGCAGATTCGCTCTTCGAAGCATGGTTTGTATTCGCTTAGTATGCTTGCAGAATTTACTTCAAAATATCGACTGAAATACTGAGATCAGCAGACATTTGTCAGGATGCTTAAAGAATGAATTTTTGAGAAAAGCGGATGTGTGTCAGTTACCTCATACCGAAGAAGGTCATGTCCTCATCAGGTTACCTGTAAATATACTCTCTATCGGGGTCACATATTGATATTCCACTAGATATTTAGAGATATGTCTCTTGCTAATTCATGACACATTTGGACTCGTTGGAAAAAAAGTGCACATAATTTTTTTGCGGCCCTGGTTGACTTTATCATGGTAGCCTCAGATATCTCCATATGATACTGCCTCGCTTGAGGAGAAACGGCAGGTATATATAGGTCATGCCCCCATGAGGTCAATGTGTCCTCATGGTATGATCACGTGCTCATACATGTATCAAACATATCCATAAGGCCACACTTTTTTATTTTTATGGATGACAACCCCCGGGGACCTCAAAATCGGTGCGAGAGGGCGAAAAAAAAACAGTCCAAAAAAAAAAATACTGCATAAGTAAAGGAATGCTGTCAGTACACAGCTGGAAACACAAATTTTACCACAGAAACACGAATCAAACTAACAATATGTCTTTATCAATGCTCTAAAAATATTAAAGCATTGCGAATACTTCGTAGAAATGTAAAAAAAAAAAGTCACATTTAGATATACTTCATATTACCAAATCTATTCAAGGTTATTTCATGCATTTTGTTGGTATAGCAATTAATAAAACAAATATCAAACAAACAGTGTGTCTTTATTTGTATTCTCAGAATATTAAAGCACTTTGAACACTTCACAGAAATGTTTAAAAAATGATGCAAAGATATGCTTAATACTACCAAATCTATTAAAGGTCATTTCGGACGATGCCATTTTTCCTACTTCGACTCACACGCAGCAGCCAAACTGTCAGGTGGCCTGTCCGAACTTCAGCCCACCAAAAACCTCGACGCCCCTGTCGACCCTTTTTTCGCTACAGAAAACCTGGTATGTGCTGCTTTGTACAGAATGTCACAGAAATTTTTCGGGCGATAATCGCTGGCTGCCGCCAGCCTTTCGCATAATTGTAAAAAGGTGATATCTCCATGCCCAATATCAATGGCATACCAATCCAAATTATATATCCACATTAAATCAACGTATGAGTAACGGATGAATACCGTACATTAGCATTTATAAATGTTTGATAAGCGTATATGTGAGTTTTCTAAATGTATATTAGCGTATGAATACCATCTTTTGGTATAAAAGCGTATGATTTAAGCATATGAGCGTATGAGAATTGTTTGGGTAGCATGCTTCTGTTTTATTGATAATTATGAACTGCAGACTGGTTCAAATCCAACGATGGTATTAGAAAATCACTACATCTGTCCTCTCCATCTTGAGCGGTAGTGATGAAAATGTGCATTTGAAATCTTATTTTGCCACTAATGACAAACCGCAGGGGATGCGTTTGTCGTACGGTAATCATGAGTTAGATAAACGCAAAATACGTTCGGCATACGCTTATATTAGCAAAGGCTATGTAAACATACGGCAAACATACTTATGCATACGCATATTAATAGTTAGAAATACGTCCCATACGCTTCTAGTTCGTCAGTATCACTTCGCACATACGCTATCCGTACGCTGCGTATATCAAACCACCGCCTAATTAGCGTGTTTAGCGTCCGTCTAGTTAATTCCTCTTATGCTTGGCGTATCCGTAACGTGTGGGTATCGTATGGGTAAATTACGATTCAAACGCGTATATTC